TATAAGGCTCTTGAAGCACTAGATTCAATATTTACAAATTTCTACCTTCTCCTTGAAGGCTTGAATTTGATCATTAACCGTATATAGTATTTTCCATTTTCCTCGAAATTTTTTGAGACAGGTGTCTCTGTTTAGCCCTGGCTAGCCCTGGAACTCCATGTAGACCAAGCTGACCTCAAATTAACATCATGCCTCTGCCTCCAGAGTGCTGGGATATGTGCCACTTGCCACTGTGCCCAGCATTACAACATTCTTTAACTGATACTAGCTGTTAAAAAAAAAAACTGAACTGTATGACTGTGAGAAGTGATAAATTTGATACTACTGTCTTCATATGGCTAAGAAACCTGGTTTTTTACCTACTGTTGCTTTTACAGTACCAATGTAGATGTCAAAAGGGCATCTACTGTGAGCCAAAATAAATTGTTTCTCCTTTTAAGTTTTTCCCTCAGGTATTTTTTTCACAATGACAAAGTCTGACATAAAATAATATCAACATACTGTTTTTAGAAGGATAACTCCAGTTGCAGTATATAGAAAGTGAATGAGATGAAGAAAAGATCTGTAAACGTGCAAGTCTTTGTGAGACAGAGTATAGAAAGAAAAGAGAAATGTTAGAGAGAAATTAAAGTAAAACCATCAGTTATAAGAATAGGGAAGAGAATATAAAACACTCTCCATTTGAAAACTGTTGGCTTGGAGATTTAGTAGGTTTAATCTGGGGTGAGAGAAAACAGTCATTCCCACTCAGTGTCAGTTTGCAATGTGGAATCTTAATTAGGATTAGGGTTAGTCAGTGTTACAAAGGCATAGCCATGGTAGCATAGGGAAGATAAAAAACTATCTCTTCTTCCTTTACAGTCCAGTAGAAGCAATGTATGCTAATACGGAAGCTCCAGGGTGTGAGGGGTATTTTCTGTTTTTCTGTTGCAAGTAACATGTTGCCCCCTCCACATAGTTTGACTATAGCTCACCACATACCACTCGTCACATTCCCCTTTCAGCCAGTGGGAATGAAAGAAGAAAGGTAGAGGTTATGGCCACATCTCAAATATTATCAGTCTTGCTGTATGCCATCTCATTCATTTTTATGTCTCATTTCATCACTGATAAACTGATAGACTAGAAGAGCTTACATCCTAAACTTCAAAACTTGTACTTTAAACTATACAGAAGACAATCTAGTTTCCTATAGCCATACCCAATCTCTTTCCTCTTTTCGCCTTAGTTAATAAGATACATACATTTTAACTAGGTATACAGCCATTTACATTTCTCGGGATCTGGGTGAGGTTATATGAATACAAAATTCTAGTGAACAGGCTATAACAAAATGTGTACAAATTTAAGATGACAAATTATTGAACACTTTATCACATTTTTAAAAAGTAAAATGTGAAAACTTCAGGTAGTGTCTTCTTTGTCTTTTTGAGACAGAGTCTCCCTGTAGCCCCAGCTGGTCTGGAACTCACTATGTAGACCAGGCTGGCCTTGAACTCACATAGATCTGTCTGCCTTTGCCTCCCAAAGTCGTGTCTTTTAAAGAAAAGATGTGGCCCATAATATCCTCTACCTTTCTTTCATTCCCACTGGCTGAAAGGGGAACCTAGTGGTATGTACTGAGCTATAGATGTGGATGGGGCAACATATTACTTGCAACAGAAAAACAGAACTAAGTCACTGTCCTAAACTTTCATATATCTTAACTAAGGTTTTGTTACTGTCTCTGTCTTCAGCAAGGAGGCTGAAACAGAAAGATAGCATAGTCACCTGTCTTGTAAATGATGGAGCCAGGATTTGAACCTAGGTTTCTGTTTTTAAAGACTCCAAAGAATCCAGAATTTTAAGACAATGTACAGTCTTTTAAGAATATTGATAAGAAGTATGAGAGAGTTGTGTATTGAAAATTAAGTAAGCAAGAGCTTGGAAGAAGATATGCTGAACACAGAGGCTCTTAGATTTGAAATGAACAAGTCATTGGGTTTGTTTTGCTTTTTATGTCCATGCTATGTGTTCTGGGAACTGAAGTTGGATTACATTCTATTCAGAATGTGGGACAACAAGATGAGTGTGTAATTTTTATACTTGGAAGAAGTTTGTTTATGAAGAGAAAGGATTTGGATAATAAATTCTTTGATATTAATAGTAAGCATTAACAGATCAAAATTGTTTTTGCTTTTTGCCAAGACACTCTTATTCTTGATGCATCAATTAAAATTATCTTTTTTTCTCTTAATTTATGGGTTTTCCTGTATGATGGAATTTCACAGGCACTGTTATTCTAACCACCTGGATTCTGATTGATACATCATGCCAGAATATTTTATCCAGCCGGGCCATCTCTGTTGTGTAAGAATTTCTGAGGATAAGTGGTGGTACCGAGTTATTATCCACAGAATCCTTGGGAAAAATGAAGTTGAAGTGTTCTACCCAGATTTTGGAAATATAGGAACTGTCCAGAAGTCCTCTCTGAGGTTCCTCAAGTGAGTTGAATTTAGCAAGAATGCTGGAAAAATGAAATTTTGAATCAAAATTCCGGAACTCTGGGGCTGGGGTCCTTCTTTTTCCCTTGCCTTCTTCCTCTCCTCCTTTCCATTCCTGATCTTAGTGCAGATTTGGCAACTGATCAGTTAATTTAATGGGTGGATATCATTTCTTTTGTCTTTTATCACTGGATTATGAATTTGAATGGACCATGAGAAAAAATTTCAGACTTTTATTAAGAAAATGAGTCTAGGCCATGCTAAGAAGTGTGTTTATAGTGAAAGAGATTGAACTACCTACCTGTGTTTTTCTTTGCATGGTTCTTTTCAAAGACTTACTGTGTTTTGTATTTTATTTCTTAGATTGCTTTTAAAGTACAAAGCCTTAATTTAAAATTAATATCACGAAATAATTGAAATAGTATTAACAAAAAATCAAGAAGTAGATTAAAGACTTCATAAAAGCAGTTTAAACATAGGATTAAATATTCATATATTTTTTCTACTGTAGGTGCTGCTACACAAAGCTTCCAGCTCAGGCCATCCCTTGTTCTTTGACTTGGGTGAGACCAGTAGAGGTATGTTTGTTTCTTCCCATTAATCAGCTAAGATTTTAGTCCTTACTTTGTGCCAGCAATGGTTCTGAGTTCTCAGGACACAAAAATAAAACACGTAATCATTATATGTTGTATGAGAGACATGTGGACAGAAATAGTTTTGTCTCATATTTGCCATAATAAAAGTTGTTAGCTGGGCATAGTGGCACACACCTTTAATCCCAGCACTTGGGAGGCAGAGGCAGGTGGATCTCTGTGAGTTTGAGGCCACCCTGGTCTACATAGTAAGTTCCAGGCCAGCTGGGGCTACAGGGAGACCCTGCCTCAAAAAGAAAAATAAATAAATAAAATAAAAGTAGTCACAGTATATGGGAAAGGAGTAAAAAGAGGCTTGCTGGCTTTGTCTAATCAGGAAAGGTCTCATACCTAGGAGGAAAAGAAGCAAGACATTACAAGCTAAATGAGACTAGCACAAACATTTCAAATTCGAGAGATTCTATGTAGCTTTTGTTGGCCTAGTCTCTAAGATAAGATGGAATAAATAAGTAAATCTATAAAACAGTAGTAGTCGTTTACTGTCAAATATTGTACACTGTGCATAGTTGCATGTGCTGTATTATTTCATATGACTTGCAGCACAGGGCTATTTACACCAGCATCATCTCAAATGTGGATAATGTGTTGTCTTATGGTATTATCACAGAACAGTATTACTAAGAAATAGGAATTTTTCAAGTCCATTATAATCTTATGGAACCACTCTCATATAAGTCTGTTGCTGTCGAAAATATGACTATGTGCTTCACCACTGTAAGTAAAAACTGAAGGACTGGGTAGTGGTAGAGCACTTCTTTGGTATGTGAGAGTTCCACCCCCATATAACATAGAAACAACCCTGGATAATTTGTTACCAACAATCTTCCAGCTCTGAAGGGAAGTGAAACTGTGTGGTAACTGGGATCTATTAGAAGGAATAGAGATTATGGATAAAAGTTATTATTTGGACAAATATTTTAAAAAACCCATCTTTTAAAA